CAATTGATCTATTTTTCCTCGGTAGCAGCTGAGGCAGATGTCTTGCCTTTAAAGCAGAGTGTGCAAATGAGGCTCTATTACCAGAAGAGCTACAAGCTCTGCATCTGAAAACCTGAAGGCAGGGTGGGTTTGTTGCCAGTTCTCTCTGAAAGAGAAAGTTGTGATTCAGCAACTGAGCCCTTCTCAGAGAGATGACTTTTTCAGGAACATTGCAAAGTGCCTGGCTCATTTTCATCTTTGTATTTCCCATATGAATGGCATGAAGCCACCAGATTCAACTACAGCTGTCCTCTAAATTCAACGGTGGAGGTTTAGAAATCCCTGCCAAGTGGGAAAATCAAGGGGAGGCGAAATGAGATTGAGATGGAGTCACATTGTGAAGGCATTGTGTGGGGCTGTCTGTCAGACATTTTATACAATGAACCACAGTAAGATATGTGTGGTTCACAAAACAATGATTGGCTCTTCTACCCAATGTTTTCCATCCCATTGCATTCCATTTAAAATGCTGGTTGTAAGCCATGCCATTAAAATGACAAGCCCTAGCCAGTTTGGCTCGGTGGATAGAGCGTCAGCCTGCAGACTGAAGGGTCCCAGGTTTGATTCTGGTCAAGGGCATGTACCTTGGTTGCGGGCACATCCCCAGTGGGGGGTGTGCAGGAGGCAGCTGATCGATGTTTCTCTCTCATCGATGTTTCTGACTCTCTATCCCTCTCCCTTTCTCTCTGTAAAAAATCAATAAAATGTATTTTTTTAAAAATGACTTAAGAACCCAATACTAAGTTACAACTCACAGTTTAAGAAGCTCAAAATAGGAAATGGTTGAGTAAAATCAGTTTCTGGAACAGCTATGCTGAACAAAGACAGAGAAACTCCTCTGTGTTCCCGATATGAGTCAGCCATCTCCCCACCCCTAAATCAGTATCCTATGTGAATCAGTAATTCACTGCCTTGCACACATGACACACAGGAACTATCATACACAAGTCAGTGCTCTTACCTCCTCACCTGCCCAGGTAGCCAAGAATTTCATTAGCCCTCTGTGAATAGATTTGAGACGATTTGCAGATAAAGTTGAGGAGTTAATAGATGTACCTAGTGCAATGGTTCCTAAAGTTTGCTACACATTAGAATGGTTTGGGGAGCTTTAAAAACCACTGATGCACCTTATTCCTATTGAACCTAATTCCTGGGAGGGAGAATCAGACACCAGTATTTTTAGAAGATCTCTAGTGATTCCAACTAGCATAAGGACCCTGTGCATGGAATCACATGGCAAGCTGGCCATGTCAGCATTTTTGTCCGGTCAGATCCTGCAGTGCTGCTGGGGAGCTTGTTAAAAATGTGGATTCCTAGCTCATAAACCCCAGAGATTCTGATTCCGTCCATTGCCTGGGAACCTGCCATTGAAATAAGTACCCCTGATAATTCAATGAGCATGGTCTACACTGACACTTTGAGAAACATTGAGTGGGTAGCCTTGCTTTAACTCCTAAAAGAGAACTGTGGGGAGCCTTCAGACAGTGACCAGCCGAGACTGCCTGTGCGTGGTGCTGATTCAAGGAGGGCCAGCTCTCCTGCGCACTCTCTCCCCTGGGTAACGCCAGTGCACACGGGTGCGTCAGGTTTCTCTCACAGGATGACATTCTGTCTGTCTGGGCTCATCATGTGAGGCTGTAGGGAAACTGACTCAGCCTGTAAAAGTTCAGCCAACAGAGGGAAAACTGGCACAGCTGTGAATACCACTGTCCCTTGGTCATCTCTCCTGTAACACAGAGCAGTTGGAGATTTCAGAGACCAAGGAGCCCCAGAGCCATGCAATGCGCCAGGGAAAACGTGAACAGGAGACCACAGGGCAGAAAGTCAACACAAAATCCATTTGGTTTTACTTAGAGAAGATCACAGATTAAATGATCTAAATAATGCCAGCAACTCCAATGGGGCTCGCCTTCCAGCCAGTGCATCTAAAGTTAGAATCTTTATCTCACTGGCCACTTGACAATTGGGAGCTTGCTTAGTTGTATTAATGTCTGTTAACGATCAGCATTGAACGAAATTCCCTAGGGCTCTCATTAAGCTCTTTCTAGTCGTAGAAGAAGCTCAAGAAACTTCATATAAAGATTCCAGGGCTTTAAGAAAAGTAGAGTGCCCTTTCCTCAAATTTTACTCTTTTCTCACCATTCTTATGGGCACAGAAGGAAATTATTTTAGAGAAATAGAAATACATCATAGAGATATGAAATTTAGCTGTACTTGTGGTTGTCTCTGAAAAAGATTCATGTAAGAAAAGATTTGTAATAATTTTTACTGATCTTTGAGGACATGGGCCATATCTGTTCTTGCTTACAGCTGCACTCCAACCAACTGAGCAACTCAGCCGGGGCACAACTCAGCCTTTTTGAGCTCAGGTCTGCCCAGAGGCCCCCAAACCTCTCCATCCCCCGCCATCCTGGCTTCTCCTGATTTGCTTTTAATATGGAGATGACGCTGAGAGGAGGAGATTTGCTTTGAGAATTGCGCCTGGTGTCTGGTTCCTGTCAGAATGCATTCTCTTCATTTCAGGGATGCATCAGGAGTAGAGAAAGATCACCTTTATCCATCCGAGTCAACTTTAGCTCTCACTCATCAGTGTGGAATGGGTCAAACCTTTCTCATTTATTTTTAGGTCTTTCTTCAGATGTGGTAATTCTTACTGCACTTGATCTTATAGATCAGTGGTTCTCAACCTTGGCTGCACATTAGAATCACCTGGGAATCTTTTTAAAATCCTGATTTCTGGGCCTCATCCTCCGGAAATTCTGTTTCTTTGTTACTAATGTTGTGGCCCCACCCCATAACAAAGAAACAGAATTTCCGGAGGATGAGGCCCAGAAATCAGGATTTTAAAAAGATTCCCAGGTGATTCTAATGTGCAGCCAAGGTTGAGAACCACTGCTATAGATGTTGGGGTAAGAAAATTAAGTTATCAAGTAGCATTTGCAACTTGATCATTCTGAAGCACTATTCACCTTTTGCATTTGGAGGGGGTGTGGCAGTTAATTTTTAAAAGTTTCTACTGGTTTTACATCTTAATATATCTGTGCATTTGCTAGGCCATTGTAACTTTCTCACATCTGTAACCCCAACAACATCCTCAGCACCCCTCCTTATTGATTTCTGCCTCGACTTTCTCAACCACCTGGTCCTTTAGTTCAAGAAGACCTAGGATGTCACATCAAACAAGTCTTCTAAAGTGACCAAAGAGCCATGTTATGCTGTTGTACTAGGTGATTTCATTATTACTAGCAAGAACTAGTAACATCCTGTAACATCTACCATGTGCCAGATAGTGCTGTAGACACTTTGCAAATGTTAACTTGATTAATCCTCACAAGAAGCCAATGAGGTATATGAGATAGGTGGTATTATAAATTACCATAAACTCATTTTATGGATGAGGAAACTGAAGCATAGAAAGGTTAAGAAATGCACACAAAGTCATGTAGCTAGTAAGTGGTGGAGGAAGAATTTGAACTCTTAGTCTGTGTTCTTAGTCACTATCTATATTGCCCATCTAACAAGGCAAAGCCAAACCAAACCAAAGGCCCCCCCCCCCAAAAAAAAACCCCTGCAAAAATAAACCAAAAATAGTATCCTTTAAAAAAATGTATTTTCAAGGACATTTTAGAGAAGGAGAATAGACACAGCAACCTAATTTGAGCGCATACTCAATGTAAAAATGGAATCATCTCATGATTCTTTTGTCTGGTACACATTCGTTAATCCATTCCAACAAACACTTCTATCTATTAACAAGAATCCAGCACAACAACCAATATTTATTCAGCATATGCCAACTATTATCTCATTTAATCCTCATCCCATTGAAGGCTGGTTTAACTCACAGCTTCTTCTCTAAATATTAACACACCAAAGAGAACCATCTTCCAACATAAGTTTTACTCAGCATAGTGTATCTAGGAGCCCAGGTAGGATAATTGCATCTGCTTTGAGAAATAGCGAGACAATAGACCCACACTGCAGTGGTCTTTTACTGCAGCTCTCTGGGTCAGCCTAGATAAAACCCACATTGCTGGTTCCTACCAGAATCTCCTAATGTTTTGGGAAAAGTATTAATTTAGGAGTTCTGAGCCTGCATTACAACTGTGTGCTGTGTGATCCAGGGCAGGTCATAACCTCTCTGAGACTGTTTCCTACTTTTCTTGTTTTTCTTAAAGTCCAAGGGAAATAATATTTATGAAAATGGATTAACTGTAAAGTGGTAGAAAATGTAAGGTAATATTATAGATGGTTTATATATTTTTATTGATTTCAGAGAGAAAGGGAGAGGGAAAGAGAGATAGAAACATCAATGATGAGAGAGAATCATCCATCAGCTGCCTCTTGCACACCCCCTACTGAGGATTGAGCCTGCAACCTGGCCCTTGACTGGAATCGAACCTGGGACTCTTCATTCCCCAGGCGACGCTCTATCCACTGAGCCAAACCAACCGGGGCTGGATGGTTTAAATCAGTGGTTCTCAACCTTCCTAATGCCGTGACCCTTTAATACAGTTCCTCATGTTGTGGTGACCCCCAATTTCATTGTTACAAATTGAACATAATTAAAGCATAGTGATTAATCACAAAAACAATATGTAATTATATATGTGTTTTCCGATGGTCTTAGGCGACTCCCGTGAAAGGGTCATTCGACCCCCAAAGGGGTCGCGACCCACAGGTTGAGAACCGCTGGTTTAAATAAAGATGATAATAATGATCATATTTACCTAAAGGCCATGTGACTGTTGCTTCTTCTCCTCCAAACCCTCGAGTAAACTTTTTGAGGGCAGGAACCATGTCTTATCATTTTCCCCTCTGAACACTGTTTCTAGCACATAGTAGTTAATCAATAAATATTTCGTGAATGAATGAATGAATAAACGGGATTTTCAAAGGAATTTTGAAGGTTCCCACCTAGATTGAGAGGAGCCCATGGGAGGAAAAGCCATTCACAATACCTGCTTCCACCACGTGGTCCATCGTTGGAAACCTTTTGTACACAGCGGTGCTCACCGAGCGGAAGATGAGCAGGGACGTGAGGTTGACGTAGCGCATCAGTGTCCTCCGGAGCAGGCGCCCGCGCTCGTCCCTCCCGTGCACGCTGCTGGAGATGAGGAACATCAGCCTGTCTGGCCAGGGCAGGTTCACAAACTGGTTCCACCATCGGTTCACTACCAGAGTAACGTAAAACCCTGTAGAATAGCAGGAAAACGATAAAGCACTTTCTTGGAGCAGACACGTCAACACCGATGCATTTAGCAGAATTTTAGCCTTTTTACGGTTTGGGGTATAAAAATACGTTGTTATCCAGACCTTATGATGTTGCCCTCCAGAAAAAAACGTCATTTGTGCCTGGCAATGCCATAGCACCCCGTAAGTGGGTATTAGAACTCAAAAATTGGCAGCAAAAATGGAGGGTTAGTGAAGAGAAAGCTTCATTGTCCAATAGCAGATCATTACCTCACACTTGTTTGGGATTAATGTAGCGGAAGCGGCCCTGAGGGTGAACCTTACGGATGATTCTGGTTCTATTGCAAGCGGTGGCTTTTCAGGCATGCCTTGCAGCTCAGAAACACTCCCATGCAGTCATCGGTGTCATCCTAACGGAGACAGTTGTGTGGCTGCATTCTGCGTGTGACCTATACTTACCAAGCACAAAGGTTACTGGAATTTGTTCAGCATATCTGTCACAGTAAATTGATAATTTTTCAAAGTAACGTTTTTGGGCTCCTGTAAGTAACAATCTGGAGCAAAAATAAAACGCACAGCCCTTTATATTATATTTCTGCACCTGCTTTGCAAGTGATATTCAGTGCAAACAATTAAGCACAAATAATCTTAATTTTTTTTAAGGAGCAATAACTTTTTCTTTTCTACCTAAGCTGATGTATCTCAAAAGCTGAATCTTTTAAGTACTAATGTTTTTAGTACATAAATGTTATTGGCCCATTAGATTTATTAAACATTTTATTTTTAAAGACTTTATATTTTAAACTTTTATATGATTAATGCATTGGATTTGGAGCACAATACCTCATAAAATAGTTTCTTTTTCAATCATTCATCAGGTGTACTCAAGGAGAAAAAAATCTTGATTAAGAGGATTACAGTTATTAAGTTATTATTGAATAATCACCCTGATTTTGACAACTTGATCTTACTTTTTCCTGAATATGCTACTCAGCACATTCTTGATTTTCTGTGTTGTATTTCAAGGGATATTATAACTTTATTTTAAAGCCTGCAATTATTTAAAATATAAAATATGCCGAAACCGGTTTGGCTCAGTGATAGAGCGTTCAAGGGATATTATAACTTTATTTTAAAGCCTGCAATTATTTAAAATATAAAATAACAGATTTAATAATTAGAAGTGGACATTTTTATTATTACATTTGGTGGGTTCATATTAACATAATATAAATATCAAAATTTATATTATAGATCTGACCCAAATTCACTTCATGATACTGTTAGACATACATTCATTTAATGGAACTATTATTAATATTTATGCTGCAGGGAGGAGATGCAGAGTCAGAAGGAATGTCTCCAGGTTAATAATGATCAAAATCTGGAAAGAGAAGCAACAGAGATGATTTGCATCAGGGAATGAGTGTAGCTGTTCCAAAGGAGAAGGGAAGCCCTTGGAGAGGCCCATGTTAACATGCTTCAGAGGCCTATTTGGGTCAGTAGAACTTCGATAAAGGAAGTAGAGGGATAATGAGGGAACCGTGAGCCAGCAATCAGATCATAGATGAAGAAATGGGAGCTGGTGCTGACAAAGCAGGGGTGCGGGGTATGGGGCGTGGGGTGGGCTTGGAGTTCTGGCCTCAGCTTTGGAAGAGGTGTCAGAAATTCTGGAGTCAGGAGAAGCTGACAAGAGAGGCATCACCTCTTTGCAGAGCCCATCAGGTCATGCTGATGGAAAGTTACAGCCAGAATGGTTTCGGATACTCCAATAGAAATGGTCAAAGAGGATTTAATTGTGGAAAGCACAGGCCATAGGGTCAGGGGAAGCTGGGTTTGAATTCCAGATCTGCCACTTACAGATGTGAACTTTGAGCATATTTTAAAATCTCTCTGAGCCTCTGTTTTCTCATGTGTGAATTGGGATAATAATATCTATGCATCAGGGATGTTACGAGGATTAAATAATATATAAAACAACGTAACACGTGATGTTATACTTAATAACAAAATGATTGTTATTATTAATGATTGGCCAAAGGAAAAAAGATTTAACTAATAGACACACATAGAAATTTTACTAGTTAGAAAGTACTACAGCGATTATTTTGTCAAATCCATACAAAATTAGGGAAGAGATGTAATCAAATTAATGAATTCTGGTGCTGTCTTATGACTTTTGCTAAGTATATTTATTTGCTTTTAATAAGGTAAAAAACTTAGGGTCATTAGTAGACACGAGAAGAAAACTATGTCTATATCTTTCTACATGTATACTTGACATTCTTGACAAATTCAGCCTATAGTTCTTGGTGTACCATTGATCAAGATATAAGGATCTATTTTAACAAGCTTTTACAATTGGACTTCAAAGAATGAAGAATGACTTGAACTAACTGTTATTGTTGTAAGTGTAAGCACTCTTTGGTTTTTAGAAAAAATATATGCATATAATTTTGTGGGGTGCAAATAAGATATTGGAGCAAAAGTTAAAGCTCCATGGAGCATTTCTGGCTACAATGCAACCATTCTAAGGGCTATTCTATTCTAAGCAGCAGTAGCAGCAATAAATTCACATTAGTAAAAATAAACTGAGACAATCCATGTCATGTGTCTTTCATCATCTCATATTCTGAAGGATTAGGTAAGACATAAATAAGTTGTCAAAATACTATTATAAGAGATATCTGAAGAATTATTAGAGGTTTTTAATAAAACATTCCATTTAAAGACATTTGGCCAAAATGTATACCAATATATACGTTTATTGAAATAGTGATTTTGATATTTAGCTACATAGATCTTCCTATTTTACTTTTGAAAATTATCAGCCAACCAAATTAATATCCCTCTTGTTCAAGTGGGGTCCTATTGCTGCAAGGAAGAATGTAGGTGAGAGCAATGCTATACAAATGTGTTCATTTGTATGCAGAAGAAAAATAACAAATGGATGTACATAGAAAAGGTGGAAATACAGCCTCAAAAACCTTTAGCTTTTCTATTTTGTTTTAATTCCCCCCAGAGAAGAAATGTATGCAATCAATTTTAATTTTAAAAAGCTAAAAAAGGTTCTATTTTATAATACTGGTAAAATTGTATTAAGACTAATTTTTAGTCATAAAAGTGTTTTTTTGGACATAATATTGCTCACATTTCCTGTCCATCTGACAGGCACAGGTTGTGAAGTGATAAGGAAGAAACACCTCCTTTTGTAAATACAGCACGGCCTGAGCTCAGAAGATATAAAGACAATCAGTGAGTTTTCTGGCCTTTTCTTTAGTTGAAGTATTGGGGAGGTTGGTGGGCTCCAGGCAAAAGGAAGGAAATTTCCTAGATTAGGTGTATATGCCTGATAGACACCAGCCACAAACACGTTCATTACAATGGTAGTTGCTATAGGCCCTCAAATCACAAATTCAAACTATGAGCGGCATAGTTGAGAGAGGCACCAGAAATTATTCATTTGTGGACTTTACCATTCAAAATCCTTACATAGCGAGGATCTACTAGTAAGTATAACTCTTCCATTCTGTGCCTCTAGCAACATTCTTGACACGCAACTAATGCCTCGTCACGGTCACTTCATGTGGGGCTGGAATGAGAACCACCGGAACATGACAGTGTGAGTCTATTTACCATCCTAAAAACGGTCGGTGTGGATTAAAATACCCTGTCCCGGGGAGAAGGCAACAGAGAGAATCATGCAAAGGAGGTTACATACGCCAAAGTCAGCAGCCACCGCAGGGCTCAGGTTTTTGAGACTGTATTCTCACGTGATACCTGATGGCCACCGAGGGAGACATGCAAAGGAAAGTACCTGTACACCAAACTTATTGCTGTGTAAAAAACAGCAAAAACAATAAACTCCCTGTACAGTAGTTTGTAGATGCTGCCTCTCCACTTGAGGAGTAGCCTATGAAATCCAAAAAAAGTCGCGTTGGCTACTTTACTGGAGTAAGTGACAGTCATCTTGGATAGTTTTTTCCTAGAAGAGCAAGAAGACAAAATACAAGTAAGAAGCACATTGAAGACCAAGCAAAAGGCTACATCTCAAAGGAAACCCACACCATCAACCCGTCGGTCACCTCCCCTCTTTTTGCCTTTCTCAGTTTGCACAATTTGGAATTTGGACATAACCACCATCTTGGTGCTAAAGTGCTTAGTAGAAAAAGGAGGGAAATCATCTCTGGAAAGAATAATATCAGCAATTGTAAGCTTGCCTTAATTTCTAAGTATTATTTTTAGATTACATAGCCATTCCTCCCTAAATATTTAAATAAATAAATGAGATATATAAGATAGGTTATCATGTTACCTATCATATACTTTCTTAACCCACAGGAAGATTTGGGGTATTCATATGTTATATTGATTGACATTTTCAAAAGCAGTGACCAAACTTCTTCTTTCGGCCTTCATTTGCTAAAGTATGTACAGAGGTATTTATTTATTTTACCCTTAAACCTCCAAAGGGGAAGTATGGCTCTCTTTTTAGAAATCAGGAGACATTGTTAGAAAGAAGCAAGCCCCACGCCACCAGTGTGGCTCAGTGGTTGAGCATCGACCTATGAACTGAGAGGTCACGGTTCAATTCCCAATCAGGGCACATGCCCGGGTTGCGGGCTTGATCCAGTGTGAGGTGTGCAGGAGGCAGCCGACCAATGATTCTCTCTCATCACTGATGTTTCTGTCTTTCTCTCCCTCTCCCTTCCCCTCTGAAATCAATAAAAATATTTTTTAAAAAAAGAAACAAAAAAAGAAGCAAGCTCTTGTGGGAAGTTAATTAATGGATTACTTGTGCTGGTTTTAATTGGATGTGGGTGTCTCTCTAATAGAGCTCCAAGTGCATAGCTGGCACTCTAGGTACTTTAAAAGATAGACAAAATGTTGGGCCGCAGTGATACTAACAAAGGTGCACTTCCCCATTGAAAAATGTAGCACAAATCGCGTAGGGATGGCTCACTTTCTGTTTGGAGCTAAAAAAATTGAGGCCATTATTTAGGACTCTTTCCACTTGGAGCTGTTCCAGGGGTGTGGGTAGGATGAGAACTGGGCCCCAAAACTCAGTTTTCAGTGAGTTCTTTGGAATTCCATGGCATTTCACCAAGAGACTAAACATTCAGGTTTTGAGAAGATGGCCCAAAGCTAATCTTTGAAATTCCTGCTCAACTACTCTCTAACATGGAACACAATAAAATGAGATTTCTTTGAAACGTTTTGATTTTCTCAAAGGGATCCATGAGGAAAGTCTTAGGGAGCCACATAGACTGAAATTATAGATCTTTTAGGCAGAATTGTGCAAGACACAAGAAATAAATTCTATAGCCAATTTCTTGTATAAAGTAGCCTATAGCACACATCTTACTATAAACAAGAAAAAGTTCTGCTTTTATTTAGAGCTGGGAAAATAATCCAATTCTAATTTGCCTGTTTCCCTAAGGAAATAAAACTCTGGGACTCTATTCACGGTATTACTTTTTTGTTTTGGTAATCACAAACTTAAGCCTTCAATATTCCTGATTTCAATTAAAAAAACAACCCGGGGCCTTTTGGCATGACCGAGTGGCATTACGAAAGGATGGGACTCATGCCACAACGCCGGTTTCATATTTCCACCTTTACCTTGTCTGTTTGTCTACTGTGAATACAGCCAAAATTGGGAGAGGACCATAATAAATTCAGCCCATTTCATAATGATTACAGTCCTTTTTGAAAGAACAGTCCTCAGGTAACTCTCTTTCATGGAACAGTTCAGCCTTGTCGTTAAGCTCTGTCAGAAAAACAAAGACCAGATAGAGGAGAGGTCAGAATGAAAACGCAGAGGTGTACTCTCCGGGCACTAACCTATTTATGTGATTTGGAGTCTCCGACAGGAAAGAAAATCTTCAGGCGCCCCCGGACCAGGGCCCTCCCGGTCGGCGAGGCACTCTCGGTTTCACCCTTTGCTCGTGCACAGTCAGGTTTTCTTTCTGTTTTCTGGCCACTGAGAGCACCCAGACAAGCTCAGGGGTTAAATGATTTTCCACTTGTGGAGGCCTGTTTATGCCAATTTGCCCAATGATGACAGTTATAGCCGGGAACAAACAGAAGCAGCAGCTGCTGAGGTGGCTTTTTTCTCATCTATAATTATAACTCCACCTGCCGCCCCAAGTACCCCTTTGAATGAGAAGTCGGAGGTGACGTGAAGGAGGACGGGCCGGTTAGGTCTGTTATTTTCATTTTGACTTTGCCCTGGGATCAAGGAAGAAAGAGCCATTTTCCCCCTAAAGAGCTCCGAGGAGGCTCCACCGGCCAAAAAAGGGAATTAGGACAGGCTGCGTGTGCTCAAAACACAGAGTGAACTCTCCTGAAGCCATAAACCGGGGCAGACAAGAATATAAACAGGATTTACACTCACTGAAGAGGCACGGAGAGTGCTCTTGCTCTTCCATTAAAAGCAACAAGCATGCATGCCTGAGAAAGACTGTCTCTTAGAAGAGCAGAGAGAATCATTGCGTGCGATGGCCCAGGGTCCTGGAAAGAGATTACACACGGATTTGCTACCTTTGTTATCTTTCCATGGCTGGCTAGGAGGATTTTCTAGTTATTAACTATGTTTTTCTCTTAGATTATGCCACATATTTTTCTTCTCAAAAGAGAGAGTTCGAGAGAGCCTTCTTTAAATAATGACATCAATAATTTCAGGACCAATTCTTATAATTTTTCCAAACTTTCTAAAGCATGTGCACCAAGCACCTTAAACTTAAATAAAACAACTACAAAAACATGTATTTTTTGTGGAGAAAGATGTGGGAAAATATGCTTCTAAAATTGGGAAGACACACATTTAAAAGGGTTTCTACAGTATTCTTAAGTTCCAGATGCATTAGACTGGTGTCTTTATCAAATTATGAGCACCTTTGAGCCAAGACGGTTATAGGTGTCTGATTTCTTGCCGCATCCCTGTTCATGGTTCCAGCATGGAGCCCCGTGTGTAATGAATATTCCATAGGAATTTTTTGTCTGCTTATCATCTTAACTTCACTAAGGTACTTCTATTAGTACATTTGGGGAAATTTGTGAACATTTTAAAAGCAAATATACAGTTGTGTACATTTTATATTTGGGTTGCTGTCAAAAGTGGTAGGATAGACCTGGTGTTGCATGTATAAAGGTTTTCAAGACAGATAGAGGCTATGAAATTTTAGTAAGTCTAAAGTCAAGTGCTTATGAAATGGAAACATTGGAAGTATTATTTTTTTTTTTAAATTTTCACTCTTGCATCTTTTACTGGATGTGCGGTAGCCCTGAAACCTGGCCTGATTCCTGGCGGTCCTGACTGTGTAACTGGAGACCTGACTTCCCCCGGGCACTGTGGCTGCTTTCGCCGACACGGCGATCATGTTCATCTCTCCCGTCAGGTGCTTTGACGAGTGACTAATCAAGGTTCAGATAATATTCTAAATTCAAATTAGTCAACAATGATTCGATTGAATGAGCAAACTCCCATGATTGAGCTCTGAGTCTGCTGGCTATTCCTAACTGGTATAGAAAGATGTCATTTAGAAATGAACTCATTAGAGGGGACAAGCCATGATAGCCTTTTCCAGAATATTTAACAAACACCAAATCGCAAAGTTCACTGTTCATATGACTTTTTGAAGAAAACTTTAAAGTTCATTGTTTCAAATAGACATTTTTCTAGATTCTAAAAGTGTCACATGTTTATTAAAAAACAAAGAATAAAACGGCAGATGAAGAAGGGAGTGGTACTCTGTCGTACTATCCTAGAGGGGTGATCATCGATTGGCATAAAGTTCATCTTATAGACTTTTGTAGAACATATTTTAACTCATAATTAACAACAAACATTCTGATAGACACTTAGGCAATTTCAGGGCTCTATGAAGTAACACCACCAGTCATATTTTCTTTCTTTTTTCTTTTTTAAAGAATAGTTTATTGATTTTCAGAGAGAGAGGAAGGGAGAAGAGAGAAATGAGAGCGTAACATCGATCAGGCTTTTTCCTGCACAACCCAGGCAAGTGTCCTGACCAGGAATTGAACCAGCTACCTTTGGGTGCACTGGCCGATGCCCAAACAACTAAACCGCACCGGCCAGGCACATTTTCTTTTGACAGCAAGCATCAAGTTATGTGATCCCGACCACTTTGACTTTCAACAGTCCTGATAAACACATCTGATGCTGATTCCACTAAACCTTCAGTGACTGGACAATTCATTAAAAAGAGAAACTGATCATTTCTAAGTGATGGGAATACTGACATTCAATCCATAGGTGTCAAGATAAATCACCTTTTGTTCCTTAAGGAAACAGAAAACAAGTTTAAGTAGCCACTAACCACCACTTCCTAAAGGAGAACCTGTTATTTTATAAGCCCACATTCATTTTAAACTGATCTACTTATGCCAAGTGGTTCTCAACCTTCTGGCCCTTATAAATACAGTTCCTCATGTTGTGACCCAACCATAAAATTATTTTCGTTGCTACTTCATAACTGTAATGTTGCTACTGTTATGAATCACAATGTAAATATCTGATATGCAGGATGGTCTTAGGCGACCCCTGTGAAAGGGTCGTTTGACTGCCAAAGGGGTCGTGACCCACTGGTTGAGAACCACTGACTTATGCCATTGATGTGAGAAATCTTTTTTCAAATTTCGTTTGAGTACGTGGTTGTATGTACATAGTCATGTGTGTGTGAAACTTTGCATTCAAATATTAATCAAAGACCAGAAATTGTTGTATTTTGGAGGATTTGATTCTGACTTTTGGACACTATTAGATGGGGAATAAGGAATCAGTAAACATTTTGAAGAGGAAAAGGGCTTGAGGAAGATCTGTGTTGCAGAAAGGTGAGTCTGTGAGAAGGGTGACTGATGGGCTTCAATGGGCAGGAACTATAGGAGGGAATCAGTTTGAAGATGATTAGGGTTGTTCTGGTATGAACTAGGGTGGTGGGTGAGTGGAAGCAGAGGAAGGATGGTGAGAGACAGCCCAGAGGAAAACTCCCCCTGGAGGGTGGAAGACAAGAGGGAGGTAGGGGAGGAAGGGGAGGAGGAAAGAGTAGTCGGATATAACCTTTGCTTTGCCCTTTGAGCCCATTTGCTCATGAAAAACGAGAAGAGAATAAGATTTCAAATTTGTTCAGGTTACACAGTTCTTTGCAGGGTGTCATGTAATGTTGATATTCTTTATTTGACCCTGCGAATAGAAACATTTTATCAGCAAAATTAAATCACAAGTAGGAGCTCATGTGCCCCTGAAATGAAGTTATTGAACTAAGTATGATAAGCTGATCCTCAGTTTTTCTGAGACTTACTAATTTTGCTATGTGCTGGATCCCTCTAGAAAAAAGACAGTAGTCAGTATCAATGTATCAAGAAAAATTCATAGAGTAAACTTCGAGAACATTCACTCATTAAGGTGGTTTGCTGTTTTTTTTTTTTTCCCCACAGCAAAATACCTTGGTTCAGTTGGCTTGCGAACCCCTCACAGTGATATTTTCTTCCCTACGGGTAAGTTTTTATTGGCTCAGTGGGACGGTAAGTTTCTTAGGAATGCATGCCTTACTCTTTCTTGTATTTTCCTATTTACTGGTTGCCTTGATGGATCAGCAGCTGCATAACCAGCAGCTGATTGGGATAAGTCATGTGTCCATCCAGATGTGTGGGGGTTCCTGATAATGTTGCAGAGAGAGCTCTGCCAAAAATCAAACAAAACAATGGGAAACCCCCTCAATTAATCTTTCCTCTTTGATTTCAGGGAAGAAAGACCAAACTCCTAGGAAAGACTATTGAGTTTCATTATAGCTGAAGCTCTAAACTCATAAGAAACTGGATATTTGAGGAGTCATCATTACTTTCCTTACATAGAGTAATTGTCAACTCAGCAAAACAGAAATGCATTAGTTCACATTCTGAAGGTTATCTTTTTCTAGTGGAAGGTACAGAAACTTTGTGCTATTTTAGCATAAATGCTTAAAGTCTAGAGAATTATTACTATGATGCTTAAAGGTACCCTGCACTTTACAATCAATAATCTTTCTTAAATAGACAGTACTGCTTAGCTCAGATACATTACAGATTGCTAAAAAAGGCAACATGGAACCAACTAAAAAATCAGGTTAGCCCAGCCGGTGTGGTTCAGTGGTTGAGTGTCGACCTATGAACCAGGAGGTCGAGGTTCAATTCCTGGTTGGGGCACATGCCCGGGTTGTGGGCTCGATCCTCAGTGTGGGGCATGCAGGAGGCAGCTGATCAATGATTCTCTCTCATCATTAATGTTTCTATTTCTCTCTCCTTCTCCTTTCCTCTCTGAAATCAATAAAAATAAATCTTTAAAAAATCAGTTTAATTTCCCACATGAAAAAGGCATGCAAATCTAAGTATATTGTTTATTCCAAACAGCTGTGAAATTCTGCTCCTTCACCCATTCTGGAAATTACATTACTGTACTGCATGGGTAAAGGGAAGATACAAGTATAGAGGAACAATTCTATGCATAAATACTTCAACAGTTCTCAAACACCTCTTCTTATGTGATAAAATGCATGTGGAAATGAAAAAACAGTTGTTGGTTCTGCTTCTCAAATATGGTGCATTGAGCATTCAGAATCTTTTTAGTTTCTTAACACATAATAATTCTTTAGTAGTGATTACTGCTGGGGAGAATAGTGGGTTTAGAGTAAGAGAGTGAAAGAAAATCTTCAGTTTTATTCCATATAATTTTGTATTTTTTAAAATAACATCTATATTTTCATATTAATCATGTGCAATAAAATCTTATTTGATGCCACTTCCAAATTTAGACCTCCAGCCCAGATAGTTTACCCATATCCAGACTCAATACTTGATATTTCCATAAACATCTCAAACCCAACTTGCCTAAAACTGAACTCCTGATCTTTTCCCTGAGACGTGCTCAAACTGCAATCTTTCATCCCAGTTGAAGATTCCTTCCTCCAAAAAGGCCAACAGCTTTGGAGTCAGCCTCAGCTCCTCTCTTTCTCTCACACTATAGTCCACACTTTCAGCAAATCCTATTGGCTCCACTTCAAAATATGCTCAAGAAGCTATCCCCTCACTCTCTCATCTCACATCCCCATCCCCACTGCTCCCACCTCATCAGAACCACCTAAACTCATAAGAAACTGGATATGTACTACCTCGTTCTCCCAGCAGCCCTCCCTGCTTCTCCACCTGCTCTCTCCAGTCT